TGAAGGTTGGTGTTAAGGGAAGAGGGTTGGGATACGCTCGAACCCATCCTGCCAGGATGTTCTCCATCAAAACTGGGGGCAAAACTGAGCTAAATCGCCCTGTCCCTGTAAGGTGCTCAAGATCTTATGCTCCTTCCCACGAGGAATTTCGTGGGCTTGAGCTGATTATAGATCAGACAAGTGAGCATTAGTCAACAACAACAACATGTTATAAAAACATAACACTGCAAGCAAAGCGAAATAATATGCTAAACGCATTGGATACCAAATATATTGCTGAACATTATTTACTATCTTAAAATTAAAAACAAATTAATTCAGATATCTAATAAGTCTGCACTGAATAAATTGTTGCTCGCAGCGTAGTTTACGACAAGGTTCAAACTGTGATTACAACAGGTCACAAAAAATGCGCTAGGGCTATATCCCTATGTTGTTGACAACAATGTAGCTTAGAGTTTCAACTGGCGATGCTACATTTCCTACATTCCTCTATTCAGACCTGGCAATCTCGAGGCTGCCTTAACACAGTTAAATGCCCCAACAACCCCTAGAGGTGATCCGAGAGGCCGCTAATCTATCGGTCGAGCTGACGAGCTAAGACTAAGCTGAGTCGATAGGAATACTCAGCAGCTCACATTCCATGTCCCCATTCTGGAGGATGGTAAAAACATCTGCCATCAACAGGGGCCCCAACCCCAGACAGCAGAACGAATTCACTTAAACACTGTCAAACCGATCGTGCCACCAATCTGGCTGCTAACACTACGTCATGATATACAGATGTTGGCTTTAGGCACCCCAGGGGAAATCAAGGAAGGATATGAATATGTAGTTTTGAGGCTCCAGGTGCCCACTGGAAACCTCGAGATTCGCTGAATTCACCAACTCCAGCAATGGGGATGTTTCGCCCCAGACAACCATAGATATATAGCTTAACCGCAACCAGCGGAATGGTACTTGCCGAGCCTGAAACCATATGGTCCCTACCGAGCCTGAAACAGCCATCGCTAGCAATGACTCCAGTCCTGTGTAAACAGATTTTAAACACCCGTGGCCAAGACTGCCTAGGTACAAATCCTAATTAGTAGTTTTCCAGGTTTTACCTCATTCGACCTCCGGAGAGGCATTCAAATAAGAAAAGAACCTGTCTGTTCAGACAGGCAGCAAGACGAACTGCTTGTTTTAATGATTGCCCGGCGCCTTTTTGACTTAGCGCCGTCGTGCGGCTATTCTCGTCGCAGGCCTGGAGAGGGGGATAAACTGCACTTTGAAGAATGTGATTTATTGAATCCTGATTTGGTTTACAGCTTTACATACCAAAGTCCTAGTGCAAGGTGGTACCAAAGGTGGCCTTACAGGATTTGTTTTTAAGCATCAAAAGAGCTGTCAGATGTGTAATTAAATATTAAATTAAATTTGAGAAAAGTATAAAAATATGTGTGAATAGATTTAAAATAGATGATCAAAATTAATGTAAGAGAAACAGTCTTATCACTTTTGAATAAGTCACTTTCCAGTTTGTGCTATGTGAAACATGTCTCCCATAGACATGTTTAGCATAGTCCTGGGGTTGGTAAGTGAGCTGCATGCGGCTTAGTAGAATCATATTTGTAGCTCTTGAAAGATTGTAGCTCTGCCTGTTAGTTTAATAACATTGAAGAATTAACTGCAATATTGCCAAAAAAATTTTAATTATCCTGTGCACTCATCAAAATGCACGGCAGGTCACATGCATGTAAACCTAGCTTTAGCTAACCTTGCTCCTCACTTCCACCAAGGTCACAATTGGAACTGATGGCTTCGCTTCAGCAAAATTGAGGTATTGGTGATTGACTGCTAGTTTCGACCAGTCGTTACTGGCAGTAACTGTGAACTAATTTTTTGTACGCGACGATGGCTATAGATGCTAGGAATGGAAGTAACAAATTTGGTGGTTTGTTATTGACTATTTTAAGAGGATTAAGTGTTTCTTTTTCTTATTTTTTATTTTAAGTTTAATATTAAAGAAACATAACGTGATTGGCAAATAAGGCATTTTAATATATAGTAAAATAATAAAGGATAATTTTAGAAAACAAAGTCTTTCGTATAGTACTATCATGGCTAATAATGTCTTTTTTTCAATCACACTCGAGACACGTACATTTTTTTCCTATGGCAACACATAAAAAGCAGCATAAAATTCAAGATGAACATTGTGAATTTAAAAGTGAATGGACGGCAAACTATTCATTTAAACAAAAGGAGTCTGTGTCTTCCAATATGCCTATTCTGCAATGAAAAATTATCAAATAATAAACAATCAAATATCAAGCATGAATTTTTCTAATAAACCATGAATCATTTTCAAGAAAGTATGTGCTCAGGGATGAAAGAAAAACAGCAGTGATGGTATTACATTGTAGAATGCAAAAATAAATATCTTTATTTAGCAGCTGGTTGCACTCTTCTACTAATATTACCACAGCCAGTTGAGCTCTTGTTCAGGATATAGCCAAGCATAAGAAACCCTTCACCAATGGAGAATGTGTAAAAAAAAAAAAAGAAAAAGAAAAAGAAGAAGAAGAAGAAGAAGAGCTTTTTGAATATGGCTGATCACCTTTTTCAAGATTTTAAAAATAAAAATGACATAATGAAGAAAATGAATGACACTTCATTATCAGCAAAGACCATTCGTGTGGTAACTGTCCAGATGGAAAGTATTTTCTGCATTTTGTATTGTGTGTGATAAGTCATGTGATGTAAAAGATGTAGCACAAGTTACATTAGCAGTGCAGTATGTATTCGAAACATATCTTCGTGAAGAATTATTAATACAACTGCCTGTTAAGGGTCAAACTCAAGGTGAAGGTGTATGTACTGCTATTTTTGAATGATTGACAAGAAATGAAATTAACCTAAATAAATTGGTTCCTATTTCTACAGATGGAGTGGTAAGTAGGTAAGTATGATGAGAAAAATAAAAGGCATTATGTCACTTTTCAAAGGAAAGGTGGATCATGACGTGCTTTCATTTTACTTTGTGATTCAACAGGAAGCACTTTGTGCACAGACATTTCCAAAAGAGATTATATATAGATTTAGTCACTAAGAAAGTGACTAAATCTATCACATATGTAATAGATTTAGTCACTAAACTAAATAATGGCAAAAAGACTCACAGACAGTTTTCTGGGTTATTAGAGGAAACAAGCAGCCAGTATTCTGATCTTCTTTTGCATAGCAAAGTGCCTTGGCTGTCCAGAGGCTCAGTACGTAAACGTTTTGCTTGTGCCTTGAACGTATCAAGAGATTTCTACTTCAAAAAGGAACTGAATATTCTGAGTTTAGTGGAGGCTTAATGAGTGGCTGTAAAATTTTTATTTTTCCATTCATGTAATATCACATTTAAACAAACGGAATAAAATTCTAAGTAACATTGTACATACTCTTTTAGAAGCGATACTTTCATTTGAACAATTAAAATTATTTGTTCAAGATATGGAGAATGGACACTTTTGCATTTGAAACTTTTAAGAGATTATGGAAGCAATTCAAGTTGTCATATTAATTTTGTGTGTGTGTGTCGCAGCTGCTGTAAAAATGCAAGAGTCTTTTAACACTTGTTCTAAAGATTTTTGATCTGAAAAGCCTATTCTTTCATTTTTAACAAAGCCACTATTAGTGAAGATGTGCAAGTTGAATTTTCCACCATTCCCAACCATTATAGAGCTCAATTTGAGTTACAGTTGTTAGATTTGAAAAACAAAGATCTATGGACAGAAAAGTTTGTAAATTTCCAGTCAGAACTAGAAAACTTAGCTAGAGAGAAAGGGAAATTGGCTGTCAGATACCATTGGAGATATTTTTCAAAATGTAGGAAGGAGGAAGAAATTATATTTGAAACATGGAACTGTTTTCCTGATTTTTAGTATCAAGTGAAAACATGTGCATTTAGCATCTTGACAATTTTCGAATCTACTTAATCTACTTAGTGAACAATTATTTTCAAATATGACCATTATTATAAACAAATTGAGAAGTATACTTAATGATCAAAGCCTTGAACGTTCCATGAAGATTATAAGGTATTTTCTTCCTCCTTTCTGCATGCCTTTGCTGTGTAATGGTAGCACACTTGACACATATTTAAGAGGTCCAGGTTAGAGTTCCAGCAAGGGCATTGCACATTTTTCATGTCTCCTGCTTCCAGATAAATGTTTCTACAGTGGCACCTGAACTAAAAAGTGGTGAATGATGATTCTTCACCACCAGGGTTTGGTAACTGGGTCCCCTAATCCCCAATAGCCCTTTAAAAGGGGGAGTATATAAGATATTTTCTCCCTCCTTTGTCTTCATGGTGTAATGATAGTACACTGGGTGCATATTCGAGAGGTCCAGGTTGAGGGCATTGCTCATTTTTCATGTCTCCAGCATCAAAATAACCTAATGACTCTACAAGTTAAAAACTTCTGAATATCCATTGAAGTCAAAACAGCTTTGTGCCTCTACTCAACCTCCAAAATCTCACTAATATTACATATTTGCATTTCTGTTCTTTTTTATGTTTAAATTGCATTTTAAGCAAAGCTATATAATGTTCTGAAATTAAGTTTTTACTGTTAGGTTTATTTTAATTAGTTATAAAAAAGTTTATCCATTTTCTTTAATATGTTGAATTATATGTTCTCTTACTACGTAAAGTAAAATGTTTTGATTTGTCAATAAATACATGTTTCACAGCAGATAACCGTTATATTACTTTTTCTAATATTACCAATGTATGTACTTTTATTTGGCTCTGTAAAAAAATATTTTACCGCATCGATTAAAAAATAGCTCTTAATTCCAGAACAGGTGACGATCCCTGGCATATGGGTTATTAAACAGCGAGTTAGCAATAATATTATATGTTTAAATTCTGATAGTCTCAGAATCTTCATATTACTGTCATATGAAAATTTTTTTTTTGCCATATTTGCTGTTTTTATTTAAGTAATTAATATTGTAAATTACAGGCAATTATTCAAGCCACAGACTAATTATAAAGAAATAGGAGAACATTGTACAACAGGAATTGATATGTATGTAACTAATCAGAGACTCATATTACTTGATACTCAGGTATGCATTTGAGAGATTAAGGGGTATGATATTCATAATATTTTAACATTTCACATAAAAATGTTTTAAATGATAATGCATATATAGATCAGGTTTTTTGAAAATTTCTTTTACTTCATATTATGTTATAAAGAACAGATTATGTTATAAGAATGTTATATATATGTTGTCAACCCATTTTTATCAATGTATGATTAAGTTACCTTCTGAATCATTTATTGATGTATACATTTTTAATAAATATATATTTATTTTCAATTTATCATATTTATGGCTTTCAGGCTGTTGATTGTTGAAAGCTAATGACGGTGTTGCTACTTTTAAATACCAAGCATTTCACATCATAAAAAGATAATAGTTTCTGCATATTATCAATTAATCTAAAAATATTTAGGTATTTTCTTGCTTTTCAAGCAAATTATAATTTGGTAATCTTATTAAGCGTAGCAATCTATACTATCTTCTAAATAGTTACATTCTTAGGTTTATATGGTTTTGTGGTACATTCTCAATATCAAATGAAGAAAATAAGAGTTTTTTTTTTAGTAATTTATTCATCCCTTTCATAGATTAATATCTCATGTACCATGATCTACAGCTAATAAATATTACATGCAAAAGCCATACTGAGGCAACTGGAAAAGAAACATGTCAACATAAGATTTTAAATTTAAAAAAAATTATTTTAGTTTGGCCTTCTGCTTCAGACAACATCTATCTAAATGCCCTCAAAATTCAGAGTTTTATTCAAAATCTCTGTCAAACTAAAGTTGCTTTTCTTTTTTGCCTAATTTTGAACTATATTGACGATCTTATACTTGGTTACATTATTAGAGATGACAGGGATAGGTGTTGCAGGATATCAATATTTTGCAAGATTCTAGACTTTCTAGACTAGGGATTTCTAGATTCTAGACTAGGGAAGAGGTTCCAAAGTGGCTAGTAAATTGAAAAATGCTATGAATAAGATTTGCCAATAGACAAAACAGGACTACCATAATTGTTTGACATAATCTAGACAGCGGCTCTCAACAGTTTGGCTAACATGTACCATCTAACCAAAAATTGAAAAATTTAGTACCACCACTACATTTTACAATGATTATTTTTCAATTTCTCAATAGAAATATTTAAAAACATGTATTTTACCATTTGAAAAACCTGTTGGCTATTTGTATTAAATATACACACTTAAAATATTAAATTAAAAATTAGTTACCATTTTAATTATCAAAATTTAAGTTATATTACTTTAATTCAAAATTTGGGACGTCAATTCCTTTATGTCTTTTAGAGATCAATTTCTTTGTGTTTGGTCTCATTTCATATAGTTTTAACCTCAAATTAGGATCCACTTTTAATTTTGTTTTGTATTTATTTTTCAAATATAACATGGAAGAAATTCTTGTTCATACAAATTGGTTGTGTGAAAAGGCAGTAAAAATGTAATAGGTTTATTTGAAATGCCTTAATTTTTTTTTTGGGGGGGGGTTCAGCGAAAAGTTAAGTGAATTTTCGAAATCCTCTGTTAGAGTTCGATCACAGGAAATTTCTATCAATTGCTCTTTTTCTTCATAAGATAAAATTTCAGGTAAATTTGAACAAAATGGATTTCAATCCAATTTTCTCTTTCATAATCTCTAGAAAAATACATGTTGACATTATTTATTAATGAAAAACTGTTAAGCTGTTTAAGGTTGGATGCTAATTTTTTTGTTTTCAAATTATTTTCGATTAGAAAACTCTGAAAGCAGTAAAATGCTTAACATATTATCCAAGTCTTTTATGGATTAATATCTCGATTTTTTTAATTGTTGCATTTGTTTTATCTCTAATGGTAAACAAATTAATGCTTTGTCCTTACAATCTGAAATTTAATTCAATTATGTTTCCAAAAATATCAGCTAAATATGCTAAGTATGACAACTATAATTCTTTAAATAAACATTTTTGCAATTCAAATTTTGAATCACAGAGGTAAATTTGAGTTTCTGATCAAAGTTAAAAAATAAAAAAGATTTAAAACTTTGCCTCTGGATAACTGCCTTACTTTGGAATGTAACAAGAGCGATTTTGATTATGTGATTAGCGCAAAGCCTCAAGGGCTATCTGCCTAGGGGAAGGGATGCCTATATGGAGGATGTTCTAAGGGAAACTGGCTCGTATACATGTTACACATGCGGAAAACCATGAAAATGCTCATTCAGCCCTGTCGCGGGAGTCGAACTCGGACCTAACTACCAGTGTTCAGCGACTATACCACTCAGCCCCTGATGGGCCTGTAACAAAAGCGTCCGATATACTTTGCCCATTTCTGGGCATAAAATCATAAATATTCTTGAATCTAAACCTCGGCTTTGAATGAAATTAACAATTTCCACAGCTTGATTCAAAACGATTTTCAGGTTTCAGCGATTGTTTTGGCTACTAAAGCTGCACAATAAATGGAGCACTGAGTAAATTTAATTTCAGTTGCAACTTTATTTATTTGAGAAATGAGAAATAATACCAGAATGGTTTCCTGTTAAAGCCTGAGTTTCGTCACTGAATACAGAAATGCACTATTTCAATATCATTCCGAGACGTATAATTGTCAAGTACTTTGAACATTTTATTGTAGTTGTTCTATCATGAAGGGATTCACAAAATAAATACTTTTCGACAATTCATTTATTTTCTTTGAAATGTATGTAAACTAACAATTGAACAAAGTTTGTTATATCAGTACTTTCATCCAATTGCCATGCTAAACAATCACTGTGTTTTATTTTTTGAGTAAGTGTCTCTTTTATGGAGTTTGCCATTTCATGAATACGTCGACTTACTGTATCATTTGATAATGGAATATTATTAAGTTAATTAGTTGCTTTTTCATTGAATAATGCTAAAACGATATCTTTAGCTGCTGGTAATATAAGGTTTTCTTCACTAATGTGAGCCTGTGCAGTCTTGGCAATTCTCAGGCTTAGGTAACTATTTTCCAAAGCTTTTTCACTTATACTGTTTTTGAACTCTCATAATTTCCTTTTAAAATATTCTCCAAATTTATCCTTTAAATTGTTTAGATTCAAGATTTCTTTTAAGAAATAATGGTTTCATACTTTGGCTAATAGTTCAGCACAAACAACACATTTATTTATTTTCCATACCAGGTAAAGCCAAATGATAAATAACTTTCATTGTATTTTTTATAAACAATTTTCCTTTTCCTTTCAGTATTATTAGTGCTTGTAGATTGTCCTGGATCTATAACCTGTGAATCATCACTTTTCGACTGTCAATCCTAGCCATTTTTCCATTTTGAAAAATCTAAGTTCGTTTGCTATTTTTTCACATATATTTAAGTGCAGAATATATTATGAGTTCTTCAAAAACAAGTGATAATATTCTCAAATCGTGTAGAAAAGTAGGAACTACAAAGCGACAAGAAGACAAAATACCTCTGTTAGAGACAGCAAATCGACATAAAAAATTATTCTAATTGAAAACAGAGCAATATAAGCCCGGAAATGGTGCAACATAAAGTGTAGGCATGCTAATAAATATATCAATTCTAAAAGAATTAATGAGGTACTATTTTCTTTTTATGGGAATTTATATTTATTTCCAATTACATAAAAATTCCATTTCTATTACTCCATTTATAAACATCATTTATGACCTATTTTATTATGTCTATGGCTAAAAGAATATTTGTAAAAATAAAAATGGATTATTTTGCTAAAGTCTATGAGTGGCTATTGACCTTGAACAAAGCTCAGATCACATAAATTTACATGAGTTTGAGAAAATCTTAAACAGCATATTGGGGTATTTAATAGTTAAAAGTATTTTGTTTCTTTGTGTACCACCTATTTTTCTCTTGCATATCACGGTTGAGAATCGCTGATCTAGACAATACAGTAATTAAATGCACATGCTCAAGAACTCTCAGCAGAGTTATAATATGTAAATCAATGTTTTAACTGTTATACATGGTCACCCTGCACAAAACAGGCAGTTTACTGTATGCATTTTTTAAGTCAACATTACATGCAATCCTGTCCTACCATTTTGTACTGAACATCTTCGTACAGGAGAGTATGCTGCTTACCATTCAGGTTATGGTTTTCCTGGATGGTGTTTTTCTTACACTAGTTATAATTCATTCCCACTAACATTGTCAAAGGAAAAGTGGAATGATTTGAATAAAAATGCATTAAATTCATGATACATCTAATTAAAAACACTCATTATTTTTATAGAATTGCATCATATATTTTTTTCAAATGCACAGAAGATACAGAATATCTGTATATAGAAGTTCCTGTGTTAGTCTCAATGTGTATTCATCTAGTAGTCTATAAAATGTTTCACTGTTCCATCTGGGTCATCTTCATTGATAATCTATATTGACAAGCCATATTAAACTTTAAAACAGCTGTTTTAAGCAACCATTAAAATTAAACCATTTCAGATTTAATTTAAAAAATTTTTTTTTTTTTCCTTTCCAAAATTTGTTTGGTATTTAATTCTGCTTAATGAATAGCAGTGTTCATGCTCATGGGATTAATGTAATTAATGCAGGAATACCTCCTTGACTATGTAAGGATACCCATAACAATCGAGCTTAATATAAACCTTTTAAACCTATTTTTATGACCCACTGCTCGTATTGCCTGTTCATAAGTTTTAATTTCATAGCTCTTAATTTTTTACATTCACTTTCAATTTTAACTAAGTTTTTAGCATCCTGTAGCCATATATCTTTCATGGGTAAAATTTTACATGATGTAATTGCATTATCCATATTTACAAAATTATTAAAAATTGCATTGAAATTCATTTTATTTCATTATGTTTTCCAATCATTTTCTTCAATGTGCAAATTATATTTCTTGATCTTGGCACCATCAGAAGATCGTGCTTTATTAAAAAAACAGTTTAATATTGCTTGACATGACTAATGCCCATACTACCATTATATAATGTGTAGCTTTTGACACAGCTTGGGTATCTTTTTTGAAATGCAATGAATTAGTCATTATGCAAGAATGTTGTATGATTATATTGATGATTTTTTGGTCCGTTAGTTATAACACAGAAACAAAATTTTCCTGCAAAATAATTTTTTTTTTAAATGATTGATGTTAATATGATGTACAATTATTCAAAAAGAATAAAATATTTCTGCATTCCTCTTTCATTTTTTTAATTTATTCATTTAAATATTCTTAGGAAAATTACATTCACATCTACATATTCTTGCTGCTGTTATAATTGCATGGTAATATTTGAACAGTTTTAAAACACCAAGCATATTTTGCTTTTCCTCTTATCAACAAGGACAATTTCTATGTATCTTTCATAATATTTCAAAAAGAATTGTTAAGCATTCCTTGTTGGACATGTACTGTGGCATTTTTTGCTTTTATAAGTATTTGCCTTGCCAAAAAGCATGTTGAAAATCAATCCATATTCATCCATGTTAATACCTTTTGCTTGATATCCGGAAAACAGTTCTTCTAGTTAGGTATTACATTCAATTGGTATCTTTATTTTTCTTTTGATGTTTGCAGATTGATAGACTGCCAGCACACATTTTCAACCTCTCTATCCACTCATTAAATGAAGTATTCAGTTTCAAATTTCCTTGAAATTTAATTAGCCTTTTTCATGTGGAATAATTTTTTTTTTTTTTTCTGTTTGTTAGAATGTTTGCTGGGTTTGCTTGCTTAAATCATATGATTAATTTTTCATATTCTCTTCATGTTTTGATTTTATGAATTTCTTCAATTTTAGTGATATTGTACTACAAACAACATGTTATTTAGAAACAGTCCTGCTTAAAATAGTAACTTCTAAATTTAATTTATTTGAAGTTGTAATTTAAGTAAATGGGAATTTTGATCCACTTTTTAAAATTTTTTTATGTTTTTACTGAAAATAGCCATTTTTAATGCTTTTTAATGGCACTTTTATACAAACTTTTTAAAAGGAAAGTCTGCAGCTTAGAAGAAAAGTCTTTTAATAAAAATGAGTGTTCTCTTCTTTTGAAAATGCCATCTCAAATTTCTTAGTAACTGACAATTACATTTTAAAGGAGATAGAAAAGGTAGACAGTTGATGCTCTTCTAAGCAGCATTCTTTTTAGTGTCATGATGGGAATTGACTTATTATTTTTGAGCGGTTTCTTAACTGTATTATATTATTTTTGAGCGGTTTCTTAACTGTGTCTTGATTGATTAACTCAAATCATCTTCTATTTTCATGTTACATCCTCAGATTTTAATCTAAGGTTTTCTTTAAAGATTGTGTGAGTAGGTTAGAATATTTGCCAATTTAGAACTTTACTTTCATTTTGCATTAAAAGTCTGTTAATTCTACTAAATGTGCCTTCTTTCATGCTTTTCTTTGTAACTGTGTAACCTGCTTATTTAAACTATGGTATAATGCAGATGCAAATCCTCTTTGGTCTGTGTTTGTTTGTGACTGAATACAATCTGGATGTTTATGGTAGGATAATGTATATATAAATACAGTGAAAACTATAAGTTTTAACAGTTGTAATCTATTAATTTCAGCCTGTCATGAGTGCTTCTGTCATGGATCATATGATTCAATATGAAAAAAAACCTCCTGGTGGACCAGATTATCATTCTGTTGAAAATGCTTTACTAATGCAGGTATGAGTTCTGTTTATCAGTAAGATACTGCACTTACTTCTAGGATGGATTTAATGTAGCATATTGTAATAGGTGAAATTTCACAGTTGAGCAAAGGCTAAAAAACATCATTTGTAAATGTATTTTTATTATTTTACAAAAAAAAAAATATTATTTTTATTATTTTACAAAAAAGTTGTTTTATTGTACTCTAAAGACAAATAATTATGCATAAATCAAATTCTTTACCCTTTTTCTCTTTTATTTGTATACTTATTTTATTATGTTTTAGTCCTTGCAGCAGGCAGCATTCCTAATGGCTGTATGTCACACAATTATTTCAGTACAGGATTGGTTCATTGATCTTAATTATCTAAGGTAATTATAATTTTTTTCCCTTAACTTCTTTCTGAAAATTTCCAAAAATTTTGTGGAGTAGGGTATTGGTTTGATTTATTGGAGACAATCCAAGTTATTTACTTACAGCTTTTGGTTTGTGGTTCATGCTTTTACTTCAGAATTACTTATGAAAATTACACTAATGGTTGTATCATCTTGGTGTTTCTCGACTGTTATTCAAACTAATTCTTTTTCTTTCTTTTTTTTTTTTTTTTTTTTTTTTAAATTAGGGGATTTGAACATTCTGTATAACAGAAATTTTTCTGTTCTAAAGTTCTTTATAATTAGCCTGAAAATTAACAATATTAACCTCTTAATATACCAATAAAAATTTAGAAAGTGGTATTTTTCTGCCATTTTTTATTCTTTATTTTAATACAACCTCTTTCTTTAAACTCAAATTTGTAGCAGATATATTATGTTGTATTCATGCCTGGAAAAGCATTTTTGAACACAGTTTACTCAGGTGCACAAAAATAATTTAGTTCTGTGTACACAACTTGAGTGAGAGGTTAATGCCAAACCTTTTTGTAATATTAGTATAAAGTTAGGTTAATATTTATTTTATATATTATTCCGAAATTTTGTAGTTTAGAACATTATATTTATAGCATGCTATTTTCACATAGCTTTATTGAAAGGGGAATATTATATTCAAGCATCTGGTGACCTTCATGAAACGATGTCAAATTAGTATTATTTTTTAAATAAATTAGAACTTTTGTGACCTAGATATTAAGCTGAAGTTTCAGAACTCTTTTTCTTATGCACTGTACAAAGAATTAAAGTGGAGTTCATTCAGTTTTCTCTACAAGTACTATTTATTAAGAATTCATTATACAGTACAAAGTCCGTAATGCGGACTCGTTGGGACTTCGGCGATTCCGGATTAAGGGTTTTTCCAGATTATAGATCATCAATTTAAATCTGGTAACATGGCATGCAGAAATTATACAATTAAAAATATGAAACCGTAATTTATTAAATAAAGAGCAATTATAATGTAAAGGGTATCAAAATAAAAAAAAAAAAACTTAATATTTATTTGTTTAATTTATTAAACATTTCTTTCAGTGTAAGTTGTTTAAGTTGCTTTGTTTTTTTGTGCTAAATGCGTATGTGTAAAAACATTATTAAACGTGCATGTGTAACATTAAACGTGCATGCGTAAAGCAGACAAAAAAATGTTTGTGGATTTGAGGTCCAGATTATAGATCATTCCAGATAATGGACGTTCAGATTACAGACTTCGTACCGTAATTACATTTTAGAGCCACTTCAAGATTAAAAATATGTTTGCAGATACTGTTGATGCAAGATTTTGTAAATTATATAACAGTTTTCTCTGGCAGATAAAGAAAAATTTATTTCAGAAGTCAAACAACAAAAATCAGCGTTATATTTTCAAAATTTCACAGGACTAGTTTCGATGGTTTTGCCAAACCACCATCCTCAGCTGTAAAAGCACAAATGAACAAGATAGAATATAATGATCAGATAAGATAAGAAAGCCTGGACAGAAAATAAGCTAGTGGTGCCATCTGTTGATAAAACCAGAACTAAAACATAATTTCTTTAAAGGCCAAAGGCAAAGATGGATTGGAATTAGGATCGTTAACTAGAACAGAAAGATTTTTTTTAATGTGAAATGCTTTTAGAAAATCCAGTTCTCCAATGGAAGTTGTTTTTTAATTAATTTTGGCAGTAGAAAATTTGAAAATGTGATTTTTGGACCAACAATGTTGGGCAATAGAAGTGTTTCCTTTTTTCTAACATATGCGTCATGTTCCTTGACGCAAAATTTTAAGGCTCTCTTAGTTTGGCCAATGCAAATTAAACTACACTGGCAAGGAATCCTATTAATACCTCAGGAATTCATATCCGGAATGGGATCCTTGAGTATGGAACTCGGAATTTTATTGATCTGAAAATAAACAACCCGAAAGTTAAATTTACTAATTTTAATTATCAAAATTTAAGTTATATTACTTTAATTCAAAATTTGGGACTGTCAATTTCTTTATGTCTTTTAGAGATCAATTTCTTTATGTCTGGTCTTATTTCATATAGTTTTAACCTCAAATTATTTAAATTTCTGTGTTTATTACCATTTGATATTTTTCACTTTATACTGTGCTTTGTCAAATTATATAGGTTAAGACCTTAAGTTATTACCATTTTAAATTTTTAATTCATGTTTTTCATGAATCTTGAAAATGCAATGGTATGCAAAGTGCTTAACTGCTAGCAAAATTATTTTCTTGATCTGAGTTTTGTGCCAGAATGTTTGGTTGTGAGGAAACATTATTTCTGCATACTTTCGAGGAATGTGCAAACTGTTCTGTATAATAATAACAAATACACTAATTTTATATGAATGTGTCAAAATTTTCATTATTTAATTTTCTTAATTTCAAATTTAGATTCTTATTATCAGCTGAAATGCTAAAGCCAACAACACCGATTAATATACATGACATGAATCCAATTCCTGAAGAAATGTCTGAATATTATCCTCACATTGGTAAGTCTACTAAAATTTTTATGAGGCTATTTTCATCATTTCTTCATGTTCATTTTTAAATGTTTGCGTACAGCATTGCCTCACATAGTCTACATCAGCGTTTCTTAAATTGTGAGTCACCAAAAAATTTAGCAGTTTTGATATTTCTTTAACTTATTATAATAATTTTACAGTTACCTAATATTTTTACACAATGTATCTGAAAATAGATAAAGATAAGACAATACAGACAAAGAAAAAAGGAAAATGTTTCGATGCAATTTTTTTATAATAGAAACATTCATTTTACTTGCTTTGCACATGACGCTGTCATTTTGTCTGTTACTTATTTAAAATTTTCACATTGTCCTATGTCTTAAAATTAGAAATTAATGTTTAATGACCTAAAACTGCAATAGTATATTACAGTACAAGTAAAAAAATTGACAATTTCACACACGCGTGTGTCGAATTTTCGCAATGCTTATGGGGTCCCACAAAATTTTCATAAATATTATGGGGTCCTGGGGGTCGCAAAAAATCTCAGCGATGAAAAGGGGTTGCGACTGAAAAAAGTTGAAGAAACCCTGGGCTACGTAATCGGTTCTAACAGTATCCTAGACTGTTTGGACCTAGACTAGTCAAGGATCTAAATATACACAAAATATGGTAATTGGTTCCCAAAACGTTTTTCTTCCTGTTTTTCAATAATTAAAACATGATTAAGAAATTTAAATATCTTTATTAAAAGTAATTTTTTAAAAACGCACTTGCTTTGTAATTCATTTTCTATTGCCTAAAAATTGCAATACCTGCATTTGCACATTTTTCTTTTTAGTCTTTTCTGTTCATACATTTTATAGCAGTAAATTGCATTGTTCATGATATCGTTGTGTGCGTACAGGTTCGTTTGAATTGAATGCACCAGTCTGATGAAAAATGAACAAATTTATTATTATCATAACAAAAAAAAATACTTAAATTTCCTCAAATATTCGTGCTGTATTACAATATATCACAGTAGTTATCTTCTAACTACTCATGCGTTCAAGAGAACTTAATTCAAAACAGCTAAAGAAAGCTAATCCGTGAATTCGCTACAATTAACAAAAGCAATTTTCTAAATAACAACAAACTAAGTAACTAAATGCAAACTGAGAGGTTTTCCTCTTGTGATAAGATATTAAAAACGCGTGCGAGAATTTTCTAGTACTTTCTCGAAATCAAAAAGAGATATTTATTAAATGTTTAATGCACACGCTCTTGTATTTTCAATTTTCCGGCTTAGCTTTCTTAATGTTCGTCACGCGCTGCACTGCGCGGGAAATAAAACCATTTAATTTATAATTGAACTAACATTAGCTTTTTAAATACCAAATTTATAACACTGCCCCCTTCCCAAGGACTGCACGTCCCGGGCTGTACAATCCCGGGACAGGAAGCCAAACTTACAACTAAGGCATGAATACAATAATAAGCATTACATTACATTAATAAACAACATGAACAATAAATGCAATAAATAAAACAAATCAAATGCTATCAAATTCAAATCCAATACAAAATACAAATCAAATACTAAATGCACATTTAGAAACAAAAAGGACCATGGTATTACACTATTTACAATTATTTACATTATGTACTATGGCCATAGTAATGAGGTAACCTGTCGTAAGAGTTCGAAGACTCACAGATCCGAACCACGACGTCATTCAGCCTGTTTAGGACTGTGTGCGGACCATCCCAAGGTGATTGTAATTCAGGCCTGACTCCTTTTCGTTGAATCGGGTTCCACAACCACACCTTGTCTCCTTTGTTGAATCTATGTCCAGTAGCTCTTGTGTTGCATCTGGTCTTCACTTTCTCCGTCGCCAAGTTTACTCGCTTTCATGCGGAATGGTACATCACTTCAAAACGGGCCTGGACATCTTGGATGTATTCCTCAGGCGATGAAGGCGCATCCGTACGGTGACCAAACAGGCGGTCACAAGGCTGTTGCTGAAGGTCTCGACCAACGAGCATTTGGGATGGAGAATAACCGGTAGTCTGATGTTTCTCTCTGACCCTAGTACGATTTCGGCAGCTTTCTGAGCTGGATCTTTCAGACAAGGCGTCGGCATTTCCAGGTGAGGATCCCTTCTGAGGATGGATAGTCATGTCATCAGATGCTGAAAGCAGTTTGTTGTTTTTGAAGTCTAAGGAAAAATTGTATTTCCTTAAAATGTCCAATCTGAGTATGCATGGAACTGTAATATCCGCCACCTAAGCCCTGTGATGGTAGGCGGCACTTCTAAACGTGATGTTCACGTTTAACTTCCCAGCTATGTCGATCTTATCACCAGATGCAGTCTGAAGGGTAACAGAGGATGGCGTCCAAAAAAGTTTATCTTTAAACTGTTGAGCTAAATCTCTCCGAGTGATGGTAACATTAGCTCCTGTGTCAATGATCATATTGCAAGGAACTCCATCAATATGCCCATTGATGGACAGTCCATTACTGTTGCCACTCACAATAGAAATCTTGAGCGCTTTAAAACAAGGTTTTTCATTCTCTGGCAACCTCCGCCCCACGAGATGGCCACTAATTACTTTCCCTGCTGCTTGCTAGGAGCGGTCTTAACATCCGTGCCTTGGGGTGTTCTGCAGTTTCGTCGTATGTGCCCTTCGGCACAGCAGTTCCAGCATTTTATGTTCGGTTTCTTGTCACCAATGTTCTGTCTCAAGGCATTCAATTGTCTAGTTAAATCGTCTAGATGAGCAGTGACTTGATCCCCTGGCTCCTGGACTTGAGCAGCTCTGACTGGGTGGCGGTCTCAATGGGTGGCTTGCTGGGCTGCCTCAAATTTCATGGCGTACACTAAAGCACTTTTCAAATCTTTAACATCCACCATTCGCAGTGCTTTCTGTATTTCAGGGTCCTGGATGCCATCGATGAAATATTGCAGCGACAGGATTTCTCTTGTTTCTGTCGGGCACTCCCAAGGGGCGTGATGTGACAGCCTTTCAACAGCCGCGGCAAGTTCCTGGAGTGTTTCAGTGGGCTTCTGCTGGTGGGATTTTAATTGAAGCTTGCTGTAGTCTTTTAAACACTTCTCACCAAAGCGTAGCTCCAGTGCGCCGGATAGAGCTTCAAAGGTCTAGTCTCTGGTTTTCTGGAAGAGTTTGAAGAATATCTACAGTGTCTGCTCTTAGAGAAGCAGTGAGATGACAGGCCTTAACTTGGGAATCCATTTGCATCTGCCAGTATGGAAAATTGTATCTTATACACTTTCCAGGAAATCTTCCCATCATATGTGGATAGCTTCAGAGAGGGACGAGCAGGTATGGGTAAAAATTTGAAACCATCAGAATTACTCCCTGCTGTCGCTACAAACTTCTTTAAACTATCATCTTCTTTGGCAATTGCAGAAACCTTGTCATCATGTTGTTCATATGTTCTTGGACGACATATACTTTTTCTTCAATTTGTTGTTCAATTCGTTGTTAGACGGCAGAAACTCTTCTTTCGATTTGTTATTTCCCCAGAAGAAACTCTTTCTTCAATTTCTCCAACTTTATTTTCAACGGCGTCTATTCTGCCTTGTATAAAATCAAATTTGTTTTCTATTATGCACGTAATCTCTTCCTTAACAGCTTTCATCTTGTATTTAATAAATTCTTGGCCCAATTTCATTTCTGCTTTAACAGCTTCTTTCATGTCTTTAAGTGATGCTTGGCCAGCTTCCATCTTTTCCTAGCTGGATTTCATCTCTTCTTTCATTTCTTCTTGTCCCGCTTTCATTTCTTCCTTAAATGAGGCAAAGGCTGATATCAACTGCCTTAACTGGTCTTCCATCGCTCTTGTTATTGGCATTCAAATCCCACTTCTAACACCAAAAATTGTTGCATGCGTACGGGTTCGTTTGAATTGAATGCACCAGTCCGATGAAAAATGAACAAATGTATTATTATCACAACAAAAAGAATACTTAAATTTCCTCAAATATTCGTGCACTATTACAATATATCACAGTAGTTATCTTCTAACTACTCATGCATTCAAGAGAACTTAATTCAAAGAAAGCTAATCCGTGAATTCGCTACAATTAACAAGAGCAATTTTCTAAACAACAACAAACTAAGTAACTAAATGCGAACTGAGAGGTTTTCCTCCTTTTATAAGATTTTAAAATTGCGCGCGAGAATTTTCTAGTACTTTCTCGAAACCAAAAAGAGATATTTATTAAATGTTTAATGCACGCGCTCTTGTATTTTCAATTTTCCGGCTTAGCTTTCTGTTAATATTCATCATGCGCTGCACTGCGTTGGAAATAAAACCATTTAATTTATAATTGAACTAACATTAGCTTTTTAAATACCAAATTCGTAACAATATGATAAATTGAAAGGCTACATTCAGTATAGGAATCAGTTCTATAATATTCTTTGAAATGATTTACGCCATTCCAAATATTTTTTATGGTGTTCAATTTTTAATTCTTATGCAGGCATTTCAACACAGTATATGAGAAATGCATCTGTTCTTAAAAATCTTGTAGCTCATCTATTTTAATATCTGTTTTATCTAGTTTATTAGTTTTCAATTTGATTCATCCATGTACATTGATCAAATGTAACTCATTAACTCTGAGTTTCTCTTCAATTTATGTTATGAATAACTCTGTATCCTCTAACAATAGCCATCAGAACTCAAGAATTAATGGCCTGAACATAGGTACACACATATAATGAAAAAAGTATTTTCATCGGCTGATAACATAGATGCATGATTATAGAGCTTGGTGCATAAAAACATAGCAGCAGTCATGGCTAATTGAACACTTGTTTTATTATTCACAAAACATTTCAGATGCAGTTACATATAGCTGAGATGGTACAAGACATGTATGATCTGTACAAAGTGACAGATGTCTGTTCTTTAACAAAGTGAAAAAATTGAAATATATATCTTATTGCATAATATTAGAGCCACATAAAAATGCACTATACAAAAAGAGACTGAACTGTATAAATGGGAG